TCAATTTAGAAAGATAATAGAAAGGTCTTGTTAGTGTTTGACAGATACTGTTAATGCACTAGATCATTTATTATTGAGATTTACAATATAACATGTTAGTCAATTGATCTGTCAATAGAATTAAATAACTAATAATAGAGCTATTGAATAGTTCTTTGATATATGGAGTAGTTATTGCTATTTATATGTTTAAGACTTAGATTGATATATGTTTATATTCAAATACTGAAATATGTTTATATGTCCCTATATATTTATTTTTCATCACTTAAGGTTTCAGATCATATCTAGATCCTTTGTTTCATGGTATAACAGTGTAGTCTTGTTGATTTTGTGAATAGAACATGTATACTGTTATTGATGCCAATTAATACCTATCTGTTACTTTCATCCAGACTAGCCCTCTTGTTATGATCCATGGTCATGTCAACTTTAAATATCGCTTGTGTTTTTCAGTCTAACCGGACTTGTCCTATTTGCCGTGGAGATGCCAGCGAATTTCTTAAAGAGGCCACCAGTGCTGAGTGAAGCAGGATGAAAATAAAGAGAAACAAAAAAACAGAGAGAAAGATAGTTAGAAAAAAAAGAAAAGAAAATCCAACTCCATCGGAAAAACTACAGAAAACACACAAAGAGGAAGAGGACGTGCTGAGTAACGGTGAGTCTCAGTCCATCGTGGAGTTGCTTGCTTCACAGATCCATCCCCAAGCAGCAGGAGGCATATGTGCAGTGGGTGCCTGGTTGCCAGAAGGAGGCTTGCCATGGCCCAGTGCCTCCAGGAAGAGAATTTTTTCTCAACTCCATTCTTGCACTTTAGAGAGAGGTATATACCGGGAGCTTCATCAAAGGAGATTAAAAAAGCCTGGCTATCAGGAATCTTTTATCAAAAGAAATCATAAAAAAAGAGTTTAAAAATCTATGCACATCTTTTGGAGGTATGAATGTGGGCACAGAATGAGAGAGAGAGAGTTACCAGCATTACTACAGGTGTTTGGATACTGTATTTTAAGATTATGTCTGAGGGAGAGAGAAAGAAGGAAAAAAATACAAGGAGAGTTTTGTTGTTTAAGGCCAATTCAAGTTGCACTTCAAGAGTACTGCGGTGGAGGATTTTAGGCTAACTGCAAGGGTGTGAAGAAGCTAGTACGCTTTCGAGCAATTAGAAAAAAAAAAAAACAACTCCCAAACATTCACTTTAATGCCAGTCTCTACTGAGTTGAAAATTCCCCTCCCCCCCCAAAGCCAGATGCGCGCACACGTGGCAACGTCAACGCGCGCATCTCCGATTGTTGAGAGGACAGTCGTTAGCGTTCCCTTGTTGTTCTGTCCGAGGCTTTGTTCGTCTAGGGCTCCGCGGGAGTTTCTGTTGTTAGCTGTCCATTTTCTGTGTTTGCCTTCATGTGAAGAGGCTGTGTCTGCAACATTAGTCCTTGACCCATGGTGTCTTAGATTTTGCCAGGGAGTTTTTTCTCATTTTTGTGTTGTGCATGAAAACATAATGGATATAATGTTTTTTCTTAGACCCATATTGTTGTGCTATGCAGTATATAATAATCCCTCTTGATGAGGCTTATTTCTTACTGGCAGAGAAAGTAGGATAACGTGTGATATTGTGGTCAAAAAGCTTAATCAACTCCAAGAAAACAGGCGAAAACAAAATAAAAAATGACAAAAAAATATACTTATATATATAAAGATGCAAGCAATTCTGTTGTCGTTATCCAGTTTGGCATATGTGGAACACCACTGTAACTTGACTGCATGTTTATTCAGCATTAGATTTTCAGGATTGATGTTCATAGCTTGAAATTTGAAGTTCATGCTCAGAAATCGTTACTGATCAGTGTCGTAAATCTAAGTGGTTTCTTGGATAATCCTAATACCTATAGTATGTTGCTGAATACTTAGTGATGGTTCATCGACAATGTTATCACCAGTACGTCCAGTAGGATAGTTTTGACCAGTAGTGATAAAACTCCCCATAATGTGTCCAGAGCTATCTAGTACCTCCCTACAATGTATTTATTTTAGAGGAATAAATACAAGTTTTTCCAATGGATTTGTCCCTTTAAAGTTACAATTGAAACACAAGTTTTAAACAGTCACCCCAGTTGATTTCAAGTAAAAGAAAATAAAGTTTTTTTTTTATGGAAAGCACTGGCTGTTTTCCGTAGGTCTGCAGTTGGTTTAGAATTATCCCGTGTGTGTACGATCACACAATCTTCAGAAACCACTTGAGACTCAGTGAAAATTGTTTTTGTTTTTAATCAGATTGGGAATACCATGTGTTATCTCATTATACCTTGGACTTTGGACTGCTGGCTTTATTGCTGGGATGGATAATCACAAATATAGTTAAAGCTTCTTTTTGTTTTCTTTCTTTCCTCTTTTTCTTTTCTGCTTCATACGAAAGTTCCAGTTTTTGATTAGGTATAGGGTTCAGTATGGCTTTTTTTACTTTCATTTTAATGTGATATCAAAGCTATTGTTGTTGTTACTTTTTTCTCTTCACTTGTGCTAAGGTAGTGAAGAATTTCACTAAAGTATTTTTCTCTCAGCATGTAATGTAGTGTACATTTTGAGTACTTCTGTCCAGCCTTACCTTGTACCAGTCGTTTGTCCAATTCGTCAGTGCAACGTACCTCACAGCTGAAATTCTTGGGTCACGACCTTTCTTCCGTACTCTGACCATCATTGTTTCCTTTGTCTACGGTGTTCATTTAGGGAGGCTAAGTAGTTACATATCCAAGGTGTTTCACATCTGAAATCAAGTTTTTTATAGGAAGATGTAAGATATTCAGGCAGTCATATTTGTGATAATCCTTGTTTAAGCATCCATTTTCTATCACGATTCCACACTCCGTTTCCACGTTCCACTGCCTTCCTCGTATTCACCACAAATGCTTCCACCTCACACAGTGAACTATGCTGGACAGACGACACTCAGTCACAGTGTAAAGGGGTCAGCTTGCCATATCTCATGTTATTTTTTTGGTCCTGAATACTACGACACGTGATGGGTTGTTAGTATCTTTTTTGATGAAGGCGAGATGCATATTGATGAGGGTTGGCCCCCGTGCACCAGAACCACAGGACTTAGTCATTCTCATAATTTTTTGATTTCTCTTTTTTTTTTTTTCCCCTCTTTCTTCCTTTCTTTCATTCATTCCTTTAGGCTGCAGTGTTTCTTAATACGTGATGTAAGGCTTCGTCTATTGGTAGCTTGGATACTATTTTTAAACTAGTGAAAGTGCTAAGGAATGTGGTTTGCTTGTTGAGCTGTTCGTCTCCAGCATAAGTGTATGTTCACTCAGTGTGTTTTGTACAACCATGTGCCTCATTATTTAGTGTAATTAGCAGCATCTCTCACATGTTGGAATTCAGATGGTGCTTGTACCACTGTAGATATAATTATGGAAGGAAAAAAGGATAGATAACTTGCACCAGTGAAAATGCAAGCTTGAAGCATCAAGTGCAAGGTGTGAAATTAGACATTAAGGAGAATAATTACAGTTGATGACTTCTGTTGCCAATAATAACTGGTCTCTTCAGACAAATATTTTTTTCTTTCTCTCTTTTTTAAGTAATTTTTTAAAGATGTTTCTCTTCAGAGAAATGGCAACTGTTTATTTTCCAGACGTGTTTGAAGTTCTCTTTCATGTGAGAGGATGCTGCAACCATCAGTGTTGGTGCCCCTCCTTGCCGTGTGTAGAGTCAGTCATTTTGGGCCAGGTGTAGAGCTTGCTTCCTATTGCATGATATTTCCATGAATCATGAAACATTAGGGCTCAGGGTACCAGAGATTTGATTGCCGTCATGTTTGCATGATACGTTGAGGTTTTACCTGTCTGTGAGGTCTCTTCCTTTCTCAAAAGGAGTTATGATCTCAGCCAGTCTCCCGGTGGATCAGAAAGCGTTATCATTGTGCATCAGACTGCCCAAATCTTGTATCAGTTGAAGGGCTGCCTAAGAGTTGGATATCTGTGTGTTTTTTGGTGTCTAATTGTGCAAGATCTGCTAATCAGCTTTTGGAGGAGTCTGATCTTGACCCAGCGAGATTTTTGCAACTCATTGGAAGGAATCCCTGTATTGTAAGGGAGGTCCAGCTTCAGCCCAAAATATATGGAAGATTAACTTGACTTGTCCTTCATATCGTATGTGTATTGGCTTGAAGTGTAGATGCCTTGAGCTGCTCATGTGTAGTTCTCCCTCCTTCCTGTCAAGCTGGCCTTTTATACATGTTTTTTCTTCATAGGCACAATACTATAAATGGCTCATTTTTATCCTGTCTTGGCCCTCTGTATCTAGGTAGTGTTCAACTCCCCCCCTCCCCCTTTCCCCCCCATTTACCTAACTCTGTGGCAAGCTCGACAGTTTTGCCCTGTTACTTCCACATTTCCCTATCCTCATCTTTTAAGTGATAGAAAGCAATACATCTCTAGTTTTTAGCCTGAAGAGAAAGAAATATCTCTATTAATGTAGTTTTTTATCATCACTGGAGGGTTTCTAGATTTTTACTTTCAATCTACCATTGTGCGGTGCTCCCTAACCTTGCCTAATAGGTGAATTTTTTTTTCTTTACTTTTTTAGTGTCGTAATTATACATTTTATGCATCAAGTTGAAAATTTGTATTCCAGAGTGTATTGTAACTCAATGATATTTCCATCATATCATGCCCATAGTCTGCATCTTTTCTCCTTGTCTCACCATTCCACAGTATTCTTCTGGGTTAGTATGTAATTCAAAGTCCTGGTGACATAGCACAATATCTGTAAGAAGTTCCCCTATTAGGCATATCGAGGGAGGCCACTGTGTGTATAAAGTATTGTATTTTGGCTTGATGTTCAAAGCTCACGGTATTCTACTATATATATACTACCTCAGCCTTAAACATGCTAAGCACAATATTCGTAAGTTGGACATAGTTCTTGATAATATCAGAACTTAACAAACAGGTTAAAAGAAAAAAAAAAAGAAAAAAAAAGTTTTACAAAACCAAGTTTTAGTAATCCCAAGCCAACCCTGGTCACGTTTTTCAAGACAATGTGCGGTGATGAGATGATACTAAACGACGTGTTTGTAATGTGTACGTTTCCAAATAGGAGTAAAAGTCATAAAGAGGTTTTCATCCAGATATTACCGTATTCCATCATGAAAAACGAGCCTTGTGTGATTGACCACCTTTGATCCTATCAGCAGCAGCAACATTATTATTGTTTTGGTGTTTTTTTATGAATAAAAAAAAAAATTAACACACACACACACACACACACACACACACACACACACACACACATACACACACACACACACACACACACACACACACACACACACACACACACACACACACTCTCTCTCTCTCTCTCTCTCTCTCTCTCTCTCTCTCTCTCTCTCTCTCTCTCTGTCTATCTATCTCTATCTCTATCTCTGTCTCTTATTCTCACACACATACACACACACACACACACACACACACTTATACATATGTATACAAATCCCCAAAACAGAAATATTGAAACATGTTCAAAGTCCTTCACTGTACCCATTGCTGCTGATAGAGACGTGGAAGCTGTGGCCATGAGTTGAAGTACAGGCAGACAGCAGTGACACAAGACAGCAAACAATCTATTTTTGTGCAAATTTCCATTCTGATCACTAAGTGGATATGTATAGAAGATAAACAGCTGTTGCGTAGAGCTAATGGGTTGTGCCTCAATGCAGTAACTCCACTTTGCTTGTCCTGCAGTCCACCTATAGTGCTCCATTCATGTCCCATGCTCTGCTTGCGTGCTATCTATGGGTGGATTCCTGAAAGTTGTGGTGTGGTCTGTGTGATGTGGCGGCCAGCTGCTGTCTACCTTTGCGGTGTTCTTTTGTGGTCCATTTTTTAGCTGGGATGTTTCAATAATTATTTACGTCTGATGCATTTCCTGCCTGTGCGTTAAATGTTAACCCTTAGATTAACACAAATCCATTTCTAGTGTGACATTTTTATATATATATATATATCTATATCTATTCTTTTCTTATAGTTTTTTCATAGACAGGTAGTATTTCCCATTGTTTTATTTTATTTTTATTTTTTTTTTTTATTAATTTTTTTTTTTTCTGAAGTGGAATGTACTTGTATATGTAAGAAACTTATTGTGTATAAAGCATAGTTATGCTGCCTCCTCTTTAACTTGGTTGGAATGGCACACATGCCGCCACTCACACAAGACCCCGGGCCCTATGTTACCTGCCTACAAATGTCTCCTCAAGTTAGCAGGGGCAGAATTCTTTATAACACCCTAGAGCATCAGTTGAATAGAAATTCCTTACGCACTTTCAACCCTGCGTTTTTCCCCCTCCTGTCTGCTGTCACGCCAGCCTCTCTTCTCATCTTAGACTTGTCCATACCAGGAGGATGCTCAAGATAAAGTTAGCCCCTTGATTGTGTTCAACCCTCAAGTGGTGACAAAGAATTCTGAATTAGCATTAAGTCATGGTATAAACCCTGTGTAAGGAGATTTTTTTCAACATAACAATAATTACCATGTTCATATATATTTTTTTAAGGGTGAGTCTTTGGTTTTTAGTGGTTCTTCTCAGGAAACATTTATTAAGAATTCTCCATACATTTTCAGCAAATGGGTTATAAGTTACAGAGGCAATGCTTCAAGTTGTATCTTGGGTAAGGTTACATAAGGGCCCCGTCCGCACTAACCTGCCTTGTAGTACAAATGTGCATTTTGTATTTCACCTAAATTCACTTGATTTTCATGAATACGCATATATATCTATATATATGTATGAATATATACACAAGCACACAAGGTATTTGTGTGTGAGCAAATTATTAAATAGTGGTATTGAAGAGCCCTCTGTTGCTTCAACATTATCACCATGTTCCCAGTACCCACAAGGCCTTCATTACTCTCTTATACTGGAGCATGCAGGGATGAGTGTTAAGTAAACCATAAAAGTGTACAATAGTTTGGTCAATTTATTTCCTATCTTCTGGATCTGTTACTGGTTTTGTATGATATATAATTTTTTTCCCTACCAGTTAGCAAGGAAAATATGAAGGAATGTTATTGGGTTTCCTTTCTTTAAGGAAAGACAGATTAAGGTTTTGAAAACTATTTTTTAACCCTGTGTGCTCCCATATTCTCTATGCTTGTGATTTTTTTTACACTTGAAAACTTCATGAAACAAATAGAACACCAAGCGTTCTATACAATGTCTAATAAGAAATGAAAAAAATAAATAAATAAATAAAGACACATTTCTTATCAGGAAAGTCTCGAGATGATCCAAGATCAGGTCCACGAGACATGTTTCTGAAGTGATCACAGATAGTTGTGTAGAATCCTTGCGTAGTATCATGCAGCATTTACGCTTAGATTGGTTGTAGTAATCTGAGAGTCGGCCTTGTTAACTGAATCTTCTTGGTTAGACTTGAAGTAATGCGCTTGCATATCTTTTTTTTTATTCTTCTTCTTTTTTTTATTATTATTATTATAATTTTTTTCTCTTTTTTTTTTACCAGTTGGTTTGTGATATTTTCCAGCGATTTTTACTGTGATGTGATGAGTGACTTTGCCATTTATATTTGTAAATGTGGGCGAACTTGGCCATTTTTTTCAACTTCTTATTGATGCTTTTGCTTCAAGCCAAATGATGGAGGCTTCCAGGATAATCATTATCCTCTCTTTATTAGTGCAACACTTGTAAATGTTATATAAAAAATAAAAAAAAGCTGTAGTTCAGGTACATCACCTTTCTTCCCAAACCTACCTGCTTCTTACTGCAGAGAGAACCTGCAAAATATATGCATGTTTGTTGCAAGATTACTAATGATCTCGTAGGCTCCCATTCCCTCGTAGGCAGTAGACATTCCAAGGCATTCCATGCTTGACTTACATGGCATTCCAAGCTCACACCTTAAACACCTCCCCCAACCCTACCCTTTCCCATCGGCCCCGGTATAGTGTGGAAGTGCAAACCTTTGTAGAAAGTATACTGATATACTTCTAAATCTTTCAGTGAAATTGGAAGTTATCCTTTGGTCCTTTATCCCTTCCCATGAGTCCCCTCCCCTCCCCTCCCTTCCCCCCCAGCTAATGTGCAACAAGAAGAATAAAGGAAAAAAAAATAGTGATAAAAACTAATAATACTGAATATAAAATAATAAAAAAAAAACAATGTTGTAACAAAAACTTGCAAAAAAGAAATGTGATCAAAATATTGAATCTGAATGTATCTTTATGCACCAAAATCCAAGTTTGCTGTTATTATACAGTTCTACTCCTGTAACACATGGCCACTTTTGCTCACATGAAATTATATATGCTTCTGGTATGTAGATTTCAGTATTTTTCAAGCTTGTAAGTGTCATTGCTTTATTAATGTTCCCAGAATTATACTTCCTCACTTTAACATTTTTGAAGGTTTGTTATATGTACGTTCCTATAGCATTATTGTTATAATTTTCTCTTACCCCATAGAGACCAAAGACATGAATAGTTAATGGATATTTCCATGTCATGTAATTTGTCACCTGAGATAAACTTTTACCTGCTGCCGTTTCCTGCTAATAGGTATTCCCTTTCCATTTTATCATCCTGATCAGGTACCAAATGTATCAGTACAGTGTAGGCAAAATAATAGTTTGATGCTAGTACCAATAAACACTAACGCCTCATGTATGTGAACCAAGTTTGTGCAGTTGTGAATGTCTACCAATGTGGTTTTTATCTTATGGCTAATAAAGGAAAAAAAAATCTAAGAGTATTTTTACACCCTTTGTTTTTTTGTTAGATTTTAGGAAAAGTATTTTCTTAGTAAGAATTCAATGACATTTGATTGTGTTTATTTATTCGTCTTAACATATATGAGAAAATGGATTATTCAGATCCTATATATCATCTAACAATATTGAAATAGATAAATAAGGTAAGTATCAAAATAATATAAACAATTAATATATACACATATTTCTTGTAATCATTTTTGACTTATTCTCTAACAATTTTTGAGTTGTAAAATTATAATTTACATCCAAGGAAGTCTTTCTAGGTTCTAATTACACTTCAGAATATACATCTTGGCCTTCATCATGGCTAGTAACATTAAATCAGGCACAATGACATTTTCTTTTAGTTTTCAATGCAAAAAAAAACAGAGATGATTTTTCTTATGTCAGAAACACACAACCAATTTTTATCATATTTTGAAAGCGTTTGCAGTGCACGAGAGAAAAATGCCCCGAAATATTTTATATGGCAACTTTTAACTAGTTGTTCCCAGATACACATTAAATTACACTACAATTTTGTTTACAAATAGATAGCGCCACAAGTCCTCAGTTACCAAGAAGTCAATATGACCTAATTTCCCCATTACTTGACTTTTCTTTTCTTTTTTTCTTTTCCTTTTCTTAATACTGTTAGCATCATTACTGTTATTATTATTGATATTATGATTATTAAAATGTCAGCAGATAATAATAAGAATAAAGATAAATTTCTCTCAAAGTCAAGGAAGAGTAAACAGATGAGATAGGTAGGACTAGTAACAAACTCCTTGGTGACAAAGTTTGTGTAGAATTATCTCTGTATAAATAAGATTCAAAAAACAAAATGACAGTGGATATAGCAGGTATCCCCATGACAGTGGCTTGATTACAAAGTACCAAACCAAAGGTAAGGTTATAAAATGACAGATGTTTAACTTGGGATGAAGGAGTAATAACCTTAAAACAAAGTTGAGGATGATAGGAAATAAACAAAAAGATATTGACAATAAAAAAGAAAGTATGGGAAAATATGTAAAACTCTTGGCAGTGCTGATTTATAAGATGAGAACAGGAAAAATAGTATACATATACAATAGTGTACACATACATCCAAAACATTCTGAACAGAAATTATGCAAACAATATTCATTAGATTAAAATCATAATTCCTTATTGGCAAAAAACATTTTAAAACAGTACCACTAGTTAACAACATT